GATTTATGATGATGAAATGGATATCAGAATAAATGTTTGAAAATTGGAAATGAAGAGAATTTGGAGAATGGATAATGAACTTAAATCATGAAAATGAATTCTCAACCTAGAACCACATATGCACACCTTGACTGATCTTAATCCATCATTGTACTTGAATCGGATTCACAAACGCACTAAGAACCAAATCCAAACAACCTTTGAATACATCCTGAGAAAATGAATCATGAAACCATTTGGATCTTCATATGCATTAGAACCTTGAAACAATGAAATCACTTGAATCATAAGACATGACTTGACATGAATTGCTTGGTCCAAAACCCTGATTGAAAAATGAACTGATGCCTTGAATAAATAAATCCACCTAAACCTTGCCACTTTGAAAACTAACAACCCAAGACTTACTGTGAACCTTCTTGATCAAGAATAATGCCTTGAAATAAGAGGAATTATGAATTGAGATATGAACTTCAAAACATCACACAAAACCTTGCTTGACCATGACTATTCTCAATCATGAAACACCTGCTTTATTACAGCCTGAGAACTTGATCCATCCATAACAAACTTGAATTAGCAAACAACCCTAATTAGATCTTCAGACACAAATCACCTGAATCATGCACATCCTAGCCTTGATCTTGAAACAAACTCTTGCCTAACCACTTGATAATGAAGCAATCCATTTATCCGACCAAGATTAACTCAAACTTTCATTAAACTCCAACCAATACTGCATACACCCTTGACCTGATTTCAAGCAAATATGAATTGAATGACACCTCTTCCCAAACAACCAAGGGATAAGAAACCCTAATCTTCATGCTTTGGGTGCACACTGATGAAACAAATGCTTGATGAGAACCAGAACCCTGATTCAAAGTCTTTCTATTTAAGCCAATGAAACATCTGACACCCTTGAGGAAATTCAAAGAAGATGATGTTGTGCTTTGATAAACCTCTGATAGGAACTGCTTATGATGATTGAAAAAATCCAACACCTTTGCCTCAAACTTGAGTACAATAACCGAAAGAAACAACCTCAGAACAATGGAATTCCAACTCAAAAGAAAACCTCTGATCCTGTGTCTTAAGAGTTAAATGAAATGCATGATTATGCTATAGATGATGCAAAGTGCAAGTTAAAATGCCTGGTAAAATTTGGGGTATGACAACTGCGTTCTTGTATGGGTGATTTAGATGAAACAATCCTGATGAAGCAACTTGAAGGGTATGTTGAAACGGGGAAGGAAGATTATGTGTGCAAGCTGAAAGATCTTTATATGGACTGAAACAATATCCTCGGCAGTAGAATAAGATATTCGACAAGTTCATGACACAAATAAGTTTCATTAGAAGTTAGTTCGACCACTATGTTTACTTCAGATTTCGACCTAGTAATTCATTTGTTATTTTGTTGCTTTATGCAGATGATATTCTAATATCAAGCAACAATGTTAAAGATGTAATAAGGGTGAAGGTTTAACTCAATAAGGAGTTCGACATGAAGGATCTAGGAGCTGCATCCAGAATTCTTGGGATTGACATCCAAAGAGATATAAAGTAGTAGAAATTATGCTTATCTCAAGAGGCATACCTACCGAAGATTCTCGAAAAGTTTGGTATGTCGAATTCAAAACCTGTTGTGACTCCAATAAGCCCTCAATTCAAGCTGAGTATATATCAGTGTCCCAGTCCTGATGTAGAAAGAGCTTATATGAATAACATTCCATATGCCAATATAATGGGTTCTTTGATGTATGTTATGGTCTGTACTAGACCCGACATACCATATGCAGTAAGTCTTGTAAGAAAATACATGACGAATCCTGGAAAGGCTCACTAGAAAGTATTGAAGTGGATTCTAAGGTACATAAATGGGTCTCTGAACAGAGTCCTAATTTATGCTAGAACCTCGAGTGAAGATAGTGAAGTAGTAATCGAAGGATATGTCGACTCTGATTATGCAGGTTGTATGGATTCCAGAAAATCTATTTCTGGATATGTGTTCATTATGTTTGGCACAACAATTAATTGGAAAGCAACACTTCAGAAGGTTGTTGCCTTATCAACCACTGAAGCGGAATATATCGCCCTAACTGAAGTTATTAAGGAAACATTGTGGCTTGAAGATTTTGCAAAGGAGCTAAAACTTCAAGGTCGAGTTATCACTGTTAAATGTAATAGTCAAAGTGCAATACACCTATCAAAGAATTCACCCTATCAAGAGCAAACCAATCACATCGATGTGAAGTTGCATTTCGTCAGAGGGGTAATCGAGCGTGGAGAAGTCCAAGTGCTGAAGGTTTCGACAGATCATAATGCTGCTGATATGATCACCAAGACATTGCCCAGTTGCAAGTTTTTCCACTGTATACAGTTGATAAAGCTGCATGAAGAAAGCTAATTTGTTCCTTGATGTTATAGAGTTTGTTCCAAGGTGGATATTTGTGAGATATTGGATCAAACTCTAGTATGATCGAAGGTAGCTTCTTGGTTTGACAGTTCGACAGATGTTTATCATGTAGTTGAAGGTCGTTCACACGTTGTTGTCAAAGTAGTGTATATTGTAGTCGAAGTAGGGTCAAACATGCAGTTGTTGGAAATGCTAGATTTGTTAGCATGTCGAATTGCACTTGTTTCTTATGTCTAATTGTTTAAGTTAGCTTGTAATGAGTAATTGTTAAAAGCCCATTAGTTTAGTATGTTAGATTTTATTATAAATAGCATATTAGTCTATCATCATAAGTGTGGCAAATCCTAATTAGGGTGAAGGAGCTATTTGTTATTCTTATGTACTTGTAATCTGATTTAAAGAGAAAGTAAAGAATAACAATTATAATAAATTCTTGTTGTTCTTCTTCTTTTACCATCTTTTATACCCTTGTGTGTTTCTTGATCATAAAGAAACAATTTATATTTTGTTTCTAAGGCATCTGATTTCACAACAAGATACATATCCAAAAATGACCTTGATACTTCAAAGTAGAACCAGAGACAATATGAGTAATATCTAGAAACAAAAACAACTTGGTATTAAATTAAAAAACTCAACGTTACATAGATAGTTGTTAACATAAATTAAAAATTACATATCATTATGAACAAGTAGTTCATGATGTTTCAACATATTGATAATATCGTCGACAGATCTTGCAATCTTTGCATCCACTTCAATCAGACCCTTTGATGCGTAATTGTAATATATACTCCATATGAACTTTAAATCTTCATCCATTTTCAGTTCAAAGTCGGTGAACTGTATCTTTCATTTGCTGTCAAATGAGGGTGAATGATACTAGAACTTGACAACTCTCCAATTTTATGGATATTGCAAGAGAGTATTTAATTTAGTTTTCAGATTGACAAGAAGTATGTCCTCGCATATCCAAAATTGAAGTAGGGGGTTTTACGCCATTGAAATACACAAAAGTAGTCATTCTCTGACTGTTACGTGTTTTGTAGAAAATATGAGATGAGAGACACCCTATTTATACAAGTTTTTGGTCACTTTGCACCTTAGAAAACTAATCATGTCATAAATGATCTTTTTCGGAGATGCATCTCTGGATAAACCTTATTTTTTTATACAAAATATGGTGTTTGCGAATATGCACATCCGTAAACCGTCATGTTATGTTTTTAATTTTAATTTAGTACTCAATTTATCTGGATATGCATATCTAGAATCACTCTGAACCAAAATCACATCAAAATTTGTGTAAACAATATAAAATGTAAACAATAAAATTTTGTAAACTAAAATCGTCATCATTTACACCATCATTGCTAAATATATATTACTTATGTATTAAATCGTATCAAGATTACAAAGTTGATGACGATACATTAAAAAAAAAGTGTATCACTTACAATCTAAAATGTGCCAAAAGATGCAACACCACATAAATCTACTATGGTTCCTCCTTTGACTTTTCCTTATTTGATTTTCTTTCAATCTTACTCAATTTGGTGAACTCTTCCATCCTTTTCAGAAATTGATCCGACCAAGTTTCCACCTCTTTTATGAAACATGCCATCCATTCCAATGACGTACTTGGTATAAGACACCCCAATTTTAAATAAACCTCAACAAAATGTATCGATTTTGAAAGCCACCCAATACATTCAGATGGATCTTAAGGTGAACCACTCCGCAATAAAAAAAAATGTCTCTGACGTGATTTAAGATGCATCTAAAAATAAATTTAAATTTTCAATAGTCTGAGGCACACCCTAAAAAAATTCCTTTTAATTTATCAACATAACTTTTTAAATTGTTTTTTTAACCATATACACGTGTCTTTTTTTAATTTAAAATACAAATAATAGCACACGTAAAACTTGTTGAATGTTGTAAATATATTTTTTCAAATACAAGTAAATATTAATTATTCAATTACAGTCAACATTTCATAAAAATAATCTACTTTAATATAATATTTTAATTTTAATAATTGAATTAATATATAAAATTTATGAAAAATAATGCAAAGTCAGCCCAAAAAAGTAAAAGCAACCCAAAGACTGAAGTGCTCTCGAGATTAGTTACTTAAAAGTTAAGATACACAAAATACGACGGCGTTTAAGCAAAACAAATAAGCTACACTATCCACGTCACCTCGTTGAGCTTATTGTAATTTCCATCATCGTCTTCTTCTAACTTCTTCCCTACCCCTTAGGTTTTTACATCCCCAGTTTCACTTCACCTTCTTTTTCTCCATTCTCAACCCTCTACACCACAACTCGGTTTTTTCCGTTTCTTCACCATCATCACTCGCTGTTTCTCAGCATCGTTTCGTAATTAACCCCAACGATTTATCACTCTTCGCTTCACAAGGCACGATTTCGTCTTTGTTTATCCATAATGCCGTTCGACGCGTTTCGAGTTTCACATCGTGTTAGGTTATTCACCACCTCAAGGTTTTATCGATTATTTGATGATTTTTTTGTTCTATGAAATAGGTATGTTAGATGCTTGAGTTCTGGTGAAAGTGATGGCGTCTAAAGGTCAAAGGTCTAAGGTTGATCATGATTATAAAGTTAAACGGCCGAAGGTTAGTTCTTCTTTCTCGTCGTTTACGTTTTTTTTTTTTGTCTGTCTTTTCTTTTTTTCTTTCTTTTGGATTCATGCATTGATTTTGCCGTGGAATGATATTGTAGTTACTGATTTTGATTTCTTGCACTGTTTTTTTTTTTATTGTTTCTCTACTTTTGAGGCTTGCCTTTTTTTGGTCATTTAGACATTTATACCAGTGTTGTCAACCAATGAAGTACGGTCATCAGAAACACGTCAGTGACCCATTGACACTAGTAGTAATCTTAAAAATAATAAATTAATCACAGTCACGTGTGTCGGTTTCGGACACCGACACTGACATGGACACATAATTTTTTTTAGAGTTGTCAACACTTGTGTATCGCAGAAAATATCTGTTTATTCAAATTCTGCCACTCTGAAGTGTTATTGAGCTGCTATAGTCTCTATTTGACAACACTTGTATTTAATTTGTATCACGGAATAATAGCCGCTTGTTAAATTTCTGCTATACTATAAGCCGCCATAGCAGCTATTTGGTAACACTAGTTTATATTCAGCAAAAGGTTACTTAATGGGTGGACTTGGAAGTTAGGATGTGATATAACTAACTGAAATAGAATTGGTTGATTCTTATTGTAAATATAGTTTTATGTTGTGTAGTTATTTGTATTGATTCTATTCAGACTGTTAACTAGGCCGATTAAAACAGTTTAATGAGTGTAGCATTGTACTCGAATTACTTTTGAAATAATAATCATAAAGTCCATAATTTGAATATACTCCCTTTCCGATAACACCGTTGGTGAAATGCTTGATCTTTTTCTATAAAAAAATTCAATTGTCCAAGTTTTCTGGTGAAAGAGAATCGCGCATATAGATGAGCTTCTCAATAAGGAAAGACTGACTTCCAGTGACGAAGATGTTATCCTCAAAGGCTAGAACACTGAGGTAGTACTGAAAATATGATAGAACAAATAAGGACAGATGTCATTTACTTTTACCGACAGTAATCTTGATTAGGGTTTTAGCCTGATATTCAAACCAGACATTCAAACCAAACACAAGGATCTTGTTTGAGCCCATGGATTCCTTCATTTAGCTTGTAGACTAGGGGTTTATGCTTGTCTTCAAATATACTTGGATGTGCCAATTGTTGATTAGATTAGAGTTATTGATAGAGATCTTCATTCTTTTGTCACTTTTTTTGTTTACATTCAATCTTAAGGTTATTTAGGTCAAGATACGACATCAAGTTCATTATTGTTTGTGATCTACTGCTTAGTCTATTGTTGGAGATCTTTTTGTTTGGCTTTCTCTGGGAGCTTATTAGATGCAAGAGCCCTTTGGGTTTGAAGTGTGGACTGTACATAGGCTCAATTACCATGTATTGGAATTTTACTTCTTACTAAAAGAATGGGTGCAAAAGGATTGAGCTGTAGTGGTCCATAGAGGCTTTGATATCATGTCATGGGCCAACTATTCCTAAAGCTTAGGCTGATAAGTAGAGACACATAGATTATTTAATTTTTATATATCTCTAACACTAGATATAACTTTTTCTGTCAATTCTTCCTCCTTGTGCTAGCTTTGGGTTGAGTTAGACATAGTCACTTAATAATTCTAAAATGCTATTAGTGCCTCTTAAGCCAAGTGATTGAGTTAGATCCTTGTCGCTTGTACTCTTCTAAATAAAAAGTTAAATTTTAGCACAATGTTGGTGGGCATATGCATTATCTCCACACTTTAAGTCGTAAGGGGTGTTGCACGAGGAGGGGTGCTAGATACAAAACCATTCATTTGCTTTCACCCAACAACTTAAACTTTTGGGATAATTGGTTCATGATGACAAGGTCGTCAAAATTAATATCCTACCTAAGATCAGAAAGGGGTCTCAAGAATGCAAATCGCATAATTTAACCGTGACTGTGAATAAAAATAGCTTAAAATAAAAAATAACCCAACCCAATACATAAGAGTAAAATAATGTAGAAGAACAGAAGTTTTAACTCAAAGGAAAAAAATAGGTGTGATATTCGAAAAATTTAAAAGAAAAAAACTCACGAATGGTGTCAAGAAAGGAAAATGTGAAGAACAGAGAAGCACATTTCACTCATAAAAGTGTCGTACAAATCTAAAAGAGATTTAAGAGGTTTCTAACTCAACATTTTTCCCCATCCCGACACGGAAATCCGTTCAGCTTGCGCATCTCCAAGTTTGAAAAACTCGCTCGTGTCTATGCTTTCATGTGTTTGCACGGTGATCCCACCATTTCCACCAAATTCAGAGTTTTCACCCGCACAGGAATGCCGAGCCCCTTTAAGATCGCAAAATCACACAATCCTACGAGTTGGATTGCGATTTTGACTACCATGCATGCCAAGAGTAATAAGAAAGGAGATGAGAGATATTCATTTCCTTTCTGAACAAGAAAGAAACCATCAAATGGGAACATTTTATTTGTTCATTTTACGACAATATAGCTCTCTTCCCAGTTTTTTCTTAAATTGAATTTTGCTGTGTCAGGCTCTTGAAGCTCCGAAGGATCCTAGACGACCCAAAACTCATTGGGACCATGTCTTAGAAGAGATGGTGTGGCTATCAAAGGTACCTACTTGTTTCAACCTCAACATCTGAAATGATTGTTGCAGCAATATTTTAATTTATATGATTTTGTTTGCTATACTTTTTATTTTGCAGGATTTCGAGTCAGAGAGGAAATGGAAATTAGCTCAGGCGAAGAAAGTTTCTTTAAAAGCCAGCAAAGGCATGTTAGATCAGGCTACAAGAGGTGAAAAGAAAATGAAGGTTCTGATTTCTCCTCTAAATAAATTAATTTACAGAAAGCATGTTATGGTCACTGTGCGGATGTTTCTTTTAATCCCACTGTACTGTTGTGTCATGAGAACTGCATCTTGTACAGGAAGAAGAGCAGCGATTAAGAAAAGTTGCACTGAATATTTCTAAGGATGTTAAGAAATTTTGGACAAAAATAGAAAAGCTGGTAATGTGTTTCATTTAATTGATTTGATTGCTGGCATAATTATCATGATTTCCCTTTGATGTCCATCACTTCATCCTTTGTTGTGTTCCTAGGTTCTTTACAAGCATCAAATGGAACTCGATGAGAAGAAAAAAAAGGCACTTGACAAACAGCTTGAGTTTCTTTTAGGGCAAACTGAGAGGTGGTTTCCTTTTTATTTATTTATTATTTTTGCAATAACTAGCGGCCCACTTAACTCTGACATTTAATTTAAATTTCTTTTGTTTTCAGATACTCAACTATGTTGGCCGAGAATCTTGTGGATGCTCATACACCAGCTGAGAAAATTTCTGCAGAGCATCACACAGGTATTCAATGCAAAGATATAGATGGAGACATCATCAATGAACCTCAGGAAGCTAATGTTGGTGGGTAAAGAATTGTAACTTTAAAGTTACAAGAAGAAATTACTTATTTTTCTAACTTCACTCAATCCATTTTGCAACAGAGTATCAATCCAACACACCTGATCATGATGAAGAATATGATGTACAATCTGATGATGTATCGGTAATTTTGTTATTTTCCGAATACCATTACAAGACTCTACTAGTATTTATTTTATATCAAGTGCATGCCATCATCATTAATATGGAATGTATTACAGAACATCAGGTGCCTGTTGGTGCCATTTCATTCTGCATGGACTTTTAACTGGTTTCGATGTTTGTTTATCTGTACAATGTTTTGCCAAAATCCATATTTGTTGGAAAAACTAATACCAGATTCATGCTGCAAGATAGCAGGAATTGATCTGCTTGCTAGTTCAGATATATAAGGCTCAACTACGCCGTTTTATTTTGGCTGTTTAACAACCAAAGATAAAGCTGTTTTATTATTTGGTTTTATTTAAAAAAACATTATATCATATATACTTTATTTTCTGATTTTGACATATTTAACTTATTCATGTATTATTGTATCATCATTTGATTCATGCAGTCAAGTCCACTTAATGGGATATAAGTTTGGTTGTTCACTTTATGTTGTTAATTTACCATGTGCTTACTGAAAAAATTGTATCTTTAAAAGAACATTATGCAATAGGGTGGGTTTCTGCATTTTCTAATTGGCGAAGTTTTAGTTTAACCATGTGCACACTGAAGAAATTTTCTCAACCATGGTTTTTCTTTTGGAGATTGAACAACACTGGCATTATGTCTCTCAACTGATTATAATGTCTGTTTTCCAATGATAGAAACTTAATGGTTAATGTTTCCAGGATGATGATGAGCAAACCCTCGAAGAAGATGAGGCTCTTATAACTAAAGAAGAAAGGCAAGAGGAATTGGCAGCTTTGCACAATGAAATGGATCTTCCAATTGAGGAGTTACTCAAACGTTATGCTGGAGATAAAGGTGATTTTTCTTAAAAAAAAAATTCTATTTTGGAGAGGGATAGGATATTGCAATTTTATCATGTCAACCAATTTTTTTTGTCTCTGGAATGCTGCGTTATTCTCACTTAATGGAAGGCAATATAAGCCATATAAAAATGTTACTTAGTGATAGCCAAGTTGATCCAGTATATACCTTTTCAAAAGAAAACCATTTGGTGTCTAGTTTTGCCTCAATATACATAGTGATTGCCTTAATAGACCATTGGATAGTTTATTAGGCAATTTGTTTCTTTACAATCAGGAGAATTGGCAAGGCATGAAAGTAGTCCGGATGGTAGTGAAGATGGTGAAAAAGTAGTTAGAACTGATGGTGATGATGGTCAGGAAGAATCAGTATTGGGTATGTTGCCTTTTTATTTTGCACAAGTTATACTTGTTTCTGACATAGGGCATGGCTACAATACACAGAAAATGGAGATCATATATCTATAAGCAAAATAGGTACAAGCAACTTCGGCATGGTCCCTGGTCGACGTTGTGTAAGTTGTATGTGTTTAATTTTACCACTTTGAATGGCACAGTGAGTTAAGGAGTTAGTGTAATGCTCAACTTTTAATTTCAGGATGACAATAATGGTGATGTAGCTACACCAACAAACAATCTATCTCAAAACGAGGATCATCAATTTGGAAGTCTTAAAGAGGTTTCTAGTGAGGCAGCCAATGAAAGTGTTCCATTTGACTTTTCTGATGAAGAGGTGACATTGCGTTTTTTTTTTTTTGGCGAACTTGTACCCTTGATCAATGTTTGGTTTGCTTAAAAAATGGTACAAGTGTTTACTTATGCTGATTGTGTTGTTTATGTGTCATGAAATATTGTCAGGAAGACGGTGACTTTTTGTTTGGCACAGAGGATAAGGTACTACTTTGTGTGAGTATATAATTGTCATATTTCCGGTATTGTTTGTTTTAATTGTTGTTGATCATCAATAAGGTAGGCGTGGTTGGTAATTGCAGATGATGATAATTTATGTTGCAAACAATGCATGTCTGAACTGTTCTGAGAGTTTGTAAAGCAACCACAACATTTCTGTTCTTTGAGTTGTATATTCTGCTATCTCATGTTCCGGAAAACTTCAACATTTTATATTGAATTATGACATTGACATACTATATGAAGTTATGAATGGTGTGAGGCCATTGTATCTCCCTGTTTTATTGCAAAAGTGTAAAATAAGAACTGCATATACTTTAAGTTTATTATTGATACATTTAAACAGTATCACGTACATAATCTCGCAGCTGCTTACTTGATGATAAAGTGTGAAAAATAGGAAGATTATTTTTCTGAATGTGCTCGAGTTTTATTGCACTCAGCATGGTACTTAATTTATAAACATGGTAATTACAATGGTAATGAATGAACATGTGCAATTTACAAGAGTAGTTAAGCTAACATGATTTCCTAAGATACATAGTACAAAGAACCTTGCTAGTTGGAAAATGGAAAATTAATATTTTAATAGATAGTTTGGGAGCACCTGTGGATGTGGGCCTATAGAATTAATTTCCAACATAAAGTATTGTCAAAGCTATTACTATTGAGTCACGAACAAGGCACGTGGATTTGGGACAATTTGGGGGCTCTCATTGGGGATTATCATAGGTAGTTTTATTTTACATTTGTAGTCAGTCTAATGTAGAGTTTTTTGAGAAGTGTTCATACATAGTCTTTGACAGCTTATCAATTATCAGCATATAACATTATTTATTAATATGAGTAGACTGCCCAGTGTCAGTGCAGCTGCCCAGTTTGGTTCTATTTCTCAAGTGGGGAACCCATCTGATAGTGTCTATTAGACATTATCCATAGAAATTTAAGTTTTTTCAGAATCAAGAATTATGTTAAACATAACTTGTATTGTATGGTATTTTATATTAAAGAAATTGTCGGCGGTTGAATACTTTATTTAATCATTTTCAAGGTCTTACCAATTTACTTATTTTCGTTTCTTGGTTGGCATCTTGTGTCTTAACTTCATTACAATGATCAGGATGATGAAACAACCTTATCTGAGGAAGAAAAACTGGACAGAGTTGATGCAGTTGATCCAAAAGATGAGGTTAAGAGCTAATAAGCTTATTTTCCCCCTACAGTCAGCTTTGTTTATGTGTGTGTGTGTGTGTGTGTGTGTGTGTGTGTGTGTGTGTGTGTGTGTGTGTGTGTGTGTGTGTGTGTGTATGTGTGGATATATATATATATATATATATATATATATATATATATATATATATATATATATATATATACACATACATAAATATACACATACATAAATACACACACACACACACACACACACACACACTATATATATGTCTGTGTGTGTGTGTGTGTGTGTGCGCGCGCGTATGTATGTAGATTGCATTTATTATATGTATATATATGACCAAGCTTTTATTATATGTAGATTGCATTACTACAAAAAGAGAGTAACATGTCGGTTGAGGAACTACTTGCAAGGTATAAGAAGGTAGGTGGTATTCATCTCTAGTTGTTGCTTATGGCTTAATTCATTGGTATTTGTTAAGAGTCCCACATCGGACAATATATGGCATGAATATGTGTTTATAAGTGGGGGCAATCCTCACTCTACCAACCGGTTTTGTAGGGTTGAGTTAGGCCCAACCACACTTCTCAACATGGTATCAGAGCCTGGTTTAAGATCCGGTGGGCCACCTTCTATGGTTTCCGCTATCGGGCCACCCACCATTTATTTCCACGCTTCAGTTGTCCAGTCCTGAGCGTGAGGGGGTGTGTTAAGAGTCCCACATCGGACAATATATGACATGAACATGTGTTTATAAGTGGGGGCAATCCTCACTCTACCAACCGGTTTTGTAGGGTTGAGTTAGGCCCAACCACACTTCTCAACAGTATTAAAACCATCATTTAATTTTTTCCTCTTATTTTTTAGGACCTGAGTGATGATGGGGATCAGGAAGATGAGTCTGATTATGATTCTGCTTCATCAGATGACCATCAGAATTTACCGGTCCATGTCGATGATGATGCTGAGCAGAAAGTTCCTGCTGTTTCTGTGGGTGAAGATATGAAGTCTGGCGAGCAACTGGCTGCCGTACAGACCCAGGCAGAAGAGCAGGGGGAAGGACCTTGTGAAAATTCAGAGGAAAGAGAAAGTGAGGATATAATTGCTGATGCAGCTGCTGCTGCAAGATCAGCACAGCCAACTGGAAACACCTTCTCCACAACTAAAGTGCGTACAAAATCCCCCTTTCTACTCAAGTACACTCTTCGTGAATATCAACATATTGGATTGGATTGGCTCGTAACAATGTATGAAAAAAAGCTGAATGGAATTCTAGCAGATGAAATGGGGCTTGGAAAAACGATAATGACTATAGCTTTGCTTGCACATCTTGCTTGTGAAAAGGGGATTTGGGGTCCACATCTAATTGTAGTGCCAACTAGTGTGATGCTTAACTGGGAGACTGAATTTCTGAAATGGTGTCCTGCTTTTAAAATTTTGACCTATTTTGGAAGCGCAAAGGAGCGAAAACATAAAAGACAAGGATGGTTAAAACCAAACTCATTTCACGTATGCATAACAACATATAGATTAGTTATTCAGGATTCCAAAGTTTTCAAGCGCAAAAAGTGGAAATACTTGATCTTAGATGAAGCTCACCTCATTAAAAACTGGAAATCACAAAGGTGGCAGACACTGTTGAATTTCAATTCAAAACGACGAATTCTGTTGACTGGTACACCGCTACAGAATGATCTCATGGAACTGTGGTCTCTCATGCATTTCTTGATGCCCCATGTTTTCCAGTCACACCAAGAGTTTAAGGATTGGTTTAGTAATCCTATATCAGGGATGGTAGAGGGAGAGGAAAAAGTTAATAAGGAGGTTGTTGATCGCCTGCATAATGTCCTTCGTCCATTCTTACTCCGTCGGTTAAAGAGAGATGTAGAAAAGCAACTTCCCATGAAAATTGAGCATGTCATATACTGTAGGCTGTCAAAGAGGCAGAGGAATTTGTATGAGGATTTTATTGCTAGCTCAGAGACACAAGCTACTCTTGCAAATGCCAATTTTTTTGGGATGATCAGTATTATCATGCAACTTCGCAAGGTTTGTAATCATCCTGACCTATTTGAGGGTCGTCCAATCGTCAGTTCTTTTGATATGTGTGGGATTGATGTTCAGTTAAGTTCTTCTATTTGCTCCATGCTTTTGCCTAGTTCCTTTTCAACAGTTGACTTAGAAAGTTTGGGTCTTTTATTTACTCATCTTGACTATAGCATGACTTCTTGGGAGAGTGATGAAGTGCAATCTATTGAGACCCCTGCAACTTTAATTATGGAACGCACTGATATAGCTGATCTGGAAGTAATTAAGCCTGGACTGAAGTGTCAGAAAAAGCAGCAAGGAACAAACATTTTCGAAGAGATTCGAAAAGCAATTTGGGAAGAGAGAATATCACAGGCAAAGGAACGCGCAGCAGCTATTGCATGGTGGAACTCCTTGAGGTGTAAAAAACGACCCATCTACTCAACAACTCTAAGAGACCTTGTTACCATAAGGCATCCTGTATATGATATTTATCAAAAGGCAAACCCTGTTTCATACTTGTTCCCATCAAAACTGGCTGACATTGTTCTCTCCCCAGTTGAACGGTTTCAAAGGACGATTGATGTGGTTGAAAGTTTCATGTTTGCCATTCCTGCCGCCCGAGCTTCCCCTCCTGTTTGCTGGTGCAGTAAAAGGGAGACAACTGTGTTTCTGAACCCATCTTACAAGCAGCGATGCTCTGATATTCTGTCACCACTATTGTCACCAATCAGGCCCGCAATTGTCCGTCGTCAAGTATATTTCCCAGATAGGCGACTTATACAATTCGACTGTGGAAAACTACAGAAGCTAGCAATTTTGCTGAGGAGATTAAAATCAGAAGGTCACCGAGCTCTGATATTCACTCAGATGACTAAGATGCTTGACATATTAGAAGCGTTTATTAATTTGTATGGTTATACTTACATGCGCTTAGATGGATCAACCCAACCAGAGGAGAGGCAGACCTTAATGCAGCGCTTTAACACAAACCCCAAATTTTTTCTTTTCATCTTGTCAACTCGTAGTGGGGGTGTTGGTATCAATCTAGTTGGTGCTGACACAGTTATTTTTTATGATAGTGACTGGAATCCTGCTATGGATCAACAGGCTCAAGATCGGTGCCACAGAATTGGTCAGACACGTGAAGTGCATATATATCGATTGATTAGTGAAAGCACCATTGAGGAGAATATTTTGAAGAAAGCAAAGCAAAAGCGTGCACTTGATGATTTAGTTATACAAAGTGGGGGTTATAATACCGAGTTCTTCAAAAAGCTTGATCCAATGGAACTATTTTCAGGTCATAGAACACTTTCAATTAAAGACATGCCGAAGGAGAAAAACCAGAACAGGGGAGAAGGTTCTGTTACTAATGCAGATGTGGAAGCTGCATTAAAACATGTAGAAGATGAGGCAGATTATATGGCACTGAAGAAAGTTGAACTGGAAGAAGCTGTGGATAATCAGGAATTTACAGAAGAAGCCAGTGGGAGACTTGAAGAGGATGAATATGCAAATGAGGATGACGAGCCTCAAGAATTAGGCGAATCTGTTTCCAATTTGAATAAAGAGGATGCATTAATGTTAAATGGAGGTGATCCTAAGGAAGATAAACCACCCTCTGTTGTTGCCAAAGAAGATGTTGACATGCTGGCAGATGTGAACCAGATGGCAGAAGCTGCAGCTGCAGCTGGGCAGGCGTTATCAGCATTTGAGAGTGAGCTACGCCCTATCGACCGATATGCCATTCGTTTTCTAGAGCTGTGGGATCCAATTATAGATAAAGCAGCCTTGGAATCTGAAGTCAGAATTGAGGATACTGAATGGGAATTGGATCGCATTGAAAGGTATAAGGAGGAAATGGAAGCCGAAATTGACGAAGATGAGGAGCCTCTTGTATATGAAAGTATGGACTTCACTACCCTTTCTGTTTCAATTTTATTCGGAACTGTTGCTATTTTATGTTTATAGAAATTGAAGTGGTTGTCATCAGATTATACCTCGTAAAAGGGAAATACAGGCAGGAGAGTATTCAAATAACATATCTCTAACATAGTTTAGCTGATAAATTAGAAGACACGCTATAAAATAATCTGTAGCTTATGTTCTTCTATATGTTCATCAGATCCGGGGCCGTTTATAAACGTACTTAACATGTTCGTCCTTCTTCATTTTTCTTAAAAATTAAAATAGAGATGTCTTTCCATGCTTGTAATGTACTATATCAACTTATTCAGCTCGTTGTCACAAAAATTAACTTACAAATTTATTTGGTCTGTATGCATGATGTAATTGTGAGACTGAATACTTTCTTTTCTTGGTCTGTATATTAGGCTGGGATGCAGATTTTGCAACGACGGCTTATCGGCAGCAAGTAGAGGCCTTGGCTCAACATCAGGTCTGTTGAATCAACATTGATTTCCTTTTATTTTCTTTCTTGACTTCTTGTGGTTATGGTTTAATATTTTGCTTTAATGTTCATTTAGTTAATGGAAGAACTTGAATATGAAGCTAAACTGAAAGAGGAAGCTGAAGAAGAGAAAAAGTAAGTCATCACTGACTTTCAATATCTCCTCCTTCACTGGCTTTAAAAAAAGAATCTATAAATGTACCATTTTATGGGACTTACAAATGTAATATTCTTTTTATAAACTATGTTTATGGTGAGGGTAAGATTTTGGTATAAATCCTGGCTTCAAAATCTGCTCAGTTTTGATAGTTTCTCCTAGTTTGAAATATATGGAAACAAGGTAACACCCTAAATATATGGAAACAAGGTGACACCCTAAATATGAAAATAACTGAGAAATCTTTATCTTCCATTTTTCAGCAGGACTCAAACACCAAATGATTCGAAGCTCAAGCCTAAAAAGAAACCCAAGAAAGCAAAGTTCAAATCTCTGAAGAAAGGATCTTTAACCTCTAGCTTAAGAACTGTGAAAGATGAGTTACGAGCAGTGCCAATGGCCATAGATGATGACGCTACCACTAGTCTTGATTTCGTGACGCCAAGTTCAAGTAGACATAAAAAACGCAAGAAGTCTAAATTAACAACTGATGGTGAAGAAGAAAAGAGATTTAAGAAGTCCAAAAAGTACAAGAGGGATCCTCTTGAGATTTATGATTCAGATTTAGAATCCAATTCAATAGATATGCAGGATGAACATGCAGAATCAGACCCATGTAAAAGTCTGGTTGTGCTGGAACATAAAACAGTTGGTAGGAATAAGATGGGAGGAAAAATATCCATCACTCAAATGCCTGTGAAACGGGTCTTTATGATAAAATCCGAAAAATTGAAGAAGGGAAATATTTGGTACAAAGATTGTATTCCATCAGCTGATTTTTGGCTGCCTCAGGAGGATGCAATATTATGTGCAGTTGTTCATGAATATGGTCCTAACTGGAGCTTTGTTAGTGAAATGCTTTATGGAATGACTGCTGGTGGGGCATATAGGGGGAGATATCGTCATCCTGTCCATTGCTGTGAGAGGTTCAGAGAATTGTTCCAAAAATATGTCTTGTTCTCCTTGGACAATGCAAATCATGAGAAAATCAACAGCACATGCTCTGGAAAGGCTCTTAAAGTAACAGAGGTTAGACCAACAATTTAACATGTCTTGTATTTCCACTTTTTATTATTTGCAGTTTATAGTGGCGATCTTATCTATTTTAACTTATCTTCATATTGCAAATTTTATTTACTGTTTTTCATTTGAACTTTGAAGTTGTTCAAGCAAGAAAATGAGAGAAAAGCAAAGAAAGCAAACGTAAAATGTAGAGAGACTGGAGAATATAAACAGTAAATTTTAGAAGTGTCTCTAACATTTGCGTGATGTTGAAAGAATAGATAACCATTTATAGAGGTCAAAACGACCGTCTAAGCTTAAGAGAATTCTGTTACAACTAAACTAACCAACTCTTACTGGCAGTTGCTACTGTGCACTTAAGTTATATATATAAGCTACATAGGTAGTGCGGTACACCGGAATATAAATATGTGTATATAAAAGAGAGTCTGTCTTTGATGAAAAAGCTTGATATTTCTGTTCAAGCACTCATCCTTGATATTTCTGTTCAAGCACTCATCCTTGATATTTCTGTTCAAGCACTCATCCTTGACATTTCTGTTCAAGCACTCATCCATGACCTTTTTTTGTTCAAGAAAAGGTCATCAGCAAGAGCCTTTATGTTTTACACATCTCATTTGAAAAATTGTGTGCTGGCTTGGCCTTAGGGCATTAGGGTCATAGATGTCAGTCGTGCCCAACTTGAATCTCAAGTTTTCATAGTTGGCTCTCTGAAGTGCCTTGGTCAAGATACCAGCGTTTTGGTGACTCATCCTTGAGGGTGTGTGCTGAATGGAAATTACCCATTATCAATCTTCTCCTCAGTGAAATGCCTATCAATTTCCACGTGTAAGTAGCTTTTAATCTCATATATCACTGAAGTGTCCTCCATATTTGAGGAGGTTTCCTTGGCTGCATTCCAGATCTCTACACCAGTATTATAGTACATGAAATTTACGCTTGACTCATTTCTCGTAGAGTTGAGTAATCATGATATAACCAAACTGTTCTCAAGTTTCCACTTTATGTAGTTTGGAACAGACTTTGCTGGCTGTTTAGCCTCTCGCCAGTGATGTAGTCTCCGTCTTGTTTATAGTTTTGGCCATTAGATTTGTATCCAGCGAATTGTTTCCGCATACATGGTAGTGTTTCTAGCCGCTGCCTTTGGGCCGACATCAGAGATACATGAGCTGCTCAGATCCACGAGAAACTTTTTTTTCTCTTGTCACTGACCATAACTACTTCTCCGATACCATGTGAAATTGTCCACATTTCCTATGAATGGCAAAAGTACACGAGGGTATAAATAGCCTCGGGAATATAATCAAATAAGGAAACTAATTAAATCCGATATTGGCAAGAAAGGAAAAATCGTATATGATTGTAAATGGAAAACAATTGTCCCTATGATACAACTTATAATAACCCTAGCTGATCCTTAGTGACTCATCCTTGACAGGCTGACCCACAACCAACAATGCATTGTTAGGACTATAATTTCGTTCACAATCGAAGCTCTTATGATTTTGGTCGGGCCTAACTCAACTTACAAAATCAGATTTTAAGTTTAGGAGTGCCCCCCCCCCCCCCCCCCCCCCCCCCCCCCACCCACCCACCCACCCACCCACCCCACCCCACTTATAAACACATTGTAGGCCATATCTGATTCAATGTGGGACTCTCAACACCCCCTCACACCTAGGACTAGACATCTAGAGCCTGATCCAAGTGGTCAGATAGCGGTAACAGTGTAGTCAAGATCGAGTGTTGGGTCTTAAGATCTTAGGATCTTAACGTGTTGAAGTTGCCTTTTAGTGCTATAATATGAGAACTTTTTTCGTGCACTTTGTGGTTAATATCGAGTGCTGGGTCTTAAGATCTTACGTGCTGAAGTTGCCTTTTATATGACTATCATGATAAGAGAATAGATAGTATCTTAGATGATTAGACTTGTTTGTTAGATTTGTGTTTTTTGAGAGCTACTTATTTTGACAAAAGTCTTTTGAACTCGTTAAATTATGGAATGATGGTTATGAGTTATTAATTAAATTGGTTGAATTTTGTGATTCATAGGTTATGCGCACTCACGTGTGTGTGCGTGTGCGTGTGCGCATGTGTTAATAAACTCTTATCAAGCCTTATATCTTTTTTACAAGAGATTTTAGTTTTTCCCAATACACTCCTCACACCCTATAATATTGGGCTTTGTGCGTGAATATAATTGGTGGTGGCCTGATTGTTAGACTCTGATAGCGATACCTTATTAAGATTTGTGTTGAGCCTAACTCAACTTCACAAAAAAGAAAATTAAGGCGATGATTGCCCTTACTTATAAATACATTGTCAAGTCAGAACACATCCAATGATGATGAGGATTTGCTTATATTACTGGTGTTGCCGTGTCAGTGTCGGGGTCAAATTCGGAGTGTCCGTGCTTCATAGTTTAATAGTCCATGATTTTGGGTTCCCCTCCACTCTCAGCAACTGAAAGTTGTAAATACCGTTAAACTCCTCATCCCACTTACAAAGCATGGTATTAGCCAATGATGATGTCTCCCTAAATCCTCCTTGCTCTTGCCAATTTAAAGAGCGTATTGGCTTTGCAATTAAGGTGAACCTTGGTTCTACCAATCAAATCAGGTATCTTCAACAGTATTGGATTTGAATGGAGTTGGTTACAATTTACAAAGGAAGAACAAGATCAGAAGTTCCCAGCTATGGAGGAAATCTCATTTGCAATAGACCAGTACATAATGACAGATTTATAACTCTGACTAATCGGCACCTCCTTGCTTCTTTCACCTCTATCAGACTCACTAATATTCTTGCTTACTAATTGGCACTTCCTTTCATTTTTTCCCTGCGGGAACAGACTTGTAGGATTTTAAGCTTAGGTTTGAGTCCAGTTGACCAATTAGGGCAACCTTTGAAAGGAGGTCTATCTCCTTGCTGTTCATCTTATTAGATCATAAGGTACTACTAACAATCAGTTGGTTGAAATCCTCAGTTTTAAGACCTTATTGTTCTCCTACCATACACATACTGTACACTTTCTCATGTAACTAATCCCCAAATTCTAGGAACTAACATTAAGTTAGTTAGAACTGTGATCCTTTTCACTGATTTATATAGATCAATTCTATTGTAATTGAATCATAGTTCAGAATATCAAACTAGTACAAAGATTCAGTTAGGGTTTATCTATTTTTTCATTAAATCTGTGAGATTCATAGAATTCTAACACATCTAAATCAATTTTTATCCGTTCTCAAGCTATTCTTCTCTTATTTCTCTTTATGCTTTCTTCTTGTCAATCTGTAACATGATCTCTTTTTGCAGGATAACATTCAAATGTTGTTGGATGTTGCTTCTGAACAGGCAAATAGAGAGTTATTACTGCAGAAGCACTTTTTTGCATTGCTTTCTTCTGCCCGGAAGGTGGCGTCACATGTTGGCCACAGACAAAATCTGCACACCACTAGCAATGGTCTCTATTTTGACCAGACTTTCTTCACTTCAATTGGCCAGCATTCACAATATCCCCTAAACAAACCCTCCGAAAGGACGACTTTTGCTAATTCGACCCAGAGCAAGAAATTACTGGCAGCTGCACTGGAAGACATGAGTAGGCCAGAAAATGACAAAACATTTCTCTCTAACCCGGGTGAAGGCATGCCGGTGAGTGCAGATCAGCTGGATATTACCCTGGAGTTCCCGAAAGAGGAAAGTGATTCCTCATCCTCATTTCCATCTGTTATAAAGTTATCAATAAAAGGGGATGAAGCACCACCATCTTTAAATAAGCACACAAGAGATGATCATCTTAAAAGTTGTTTTTCTGCTGCTGAGAATCGTTTCAGGTATGGCTGAACGCTTATAATGAGTTTTAGTTTGTGGTATTATCTGTCAATTAGGTTTGGCGTATCTTTTTTAATTTTATTATAAACAAATATTTGGTTCCAGTGGCGTGGTCTGTCCAAATCTGGCCAAGGACACTTTTTTTTATCAAGATCATTATCAAATTATTTCTTCTAATAATTTTAGATTCTTGTGAGTTTCTGGGACCTGGTTTGCTTTGGTATTTGATTTCCAAGAAAGTGTGTCATTTCACAGAACAGTTGACATATTCATATTATTATTTTTAAATTTGGTCCTTTTTCTTGGTTCTTCTGTTGAAATGTATGAATCATTATCAAATTATTTCTTCTAATAATTTTAGATTCTTGTGAGTTTCTGGGACCTGGTTTGCTTTGGTATTTGATTTCCAAGAAAGTGTGTCATTTCACAGAACAGTTGACATATTCATATTATTATTTTTAAATTTGGTCCTTTTTCTTGGTTCTTCTGTTGAAATGTATGAATCAGTATTGATACTAAAATTTAATAGGATGTGACAACATAATTGATATTGGTGATTGGAGATTGATATACACTTTCGTCTATAAACTTTTTTATATTTAATTTCAGTTGCATTGATCTGTTGAAGAACTACTTTTGAGTTTTGACCCGTGTTCTTAACTTTACAGTTTGCAAAAAAAAAAAAAAACTTTACCCTTGGTAGTTAACGAAGTGTTTTCGTTTAAAAAAAACTTTACACTTTGCAGTTATGATTTTCTTGTCTTATACAGTTTGCACAGTCTAGTTGATTACTATTTGTTTTCCTATTTAATTTTGCCTACATATACATCCTTGTCGTGGTGAAACAAAATTCCACTGATTCATATTATATTCTGTATCTAAGTGTGAATGATCCAATGAATTGTATGTTCTGTTATGCTACTTCAGAGTTCAGACTTCGTTCAGACTTCATTGAATTTCTCTTATAAATTTACACTTGTGAATGTCTACGTGAAATAAATCTTCATCGTTGCAGTTGGCGATTGTTTGCCTCATCAAAAAATTGCTATTGAAAAAATTTAGTTTTATCAATCTGTCAACAAATGCTAAAATTTGTTTCCCCTGGTGCTTAGTTTATGAAGCATTTATTTTTTTTCATTGCTACTTTGGAGAGTTGCTTATGGTGTTTCTCATTTTTGTATTTTTTTTCTCCCTCAGGGAGGTAACAAGAGCTTGTGAAGAAGACAGATCTGGATGGGCTTCATCAACATTCCCAACAAATGATGCAAGGTCTCGACCTGGATCCAGGGTACAATCTTCTGGAAAGCAAAAGTCTTCCATTTCAGATGTTACTAAGCCGTCTAGGGGAAAGACCAGAAGAGCTTCAGTGGAATCTAGTGAAATGCATCGCCGTCAAGCTGAACCATTATTCCCGTCAATTCCATTGCTTCCTGAATTGGCGTTGGATCTCCCTTCATCTTCTATGAATGAGTTTGAGTTTAATACGGATAGAAATCTCCCCTTTGATTTGAATGAAGAAAGTTCATTGGAAAGGGAAAATGTTGGAGTCATCCCACATGATTATATAGCTGAGTTAATCTCAGGCCTTGATGATTGTACAACATTCCCTGAATATACTGATGTTAGATAAGGACCAAAACAAGCCTGAAATGCAGTTTTAAATAACTCTTTGCCGCCAAAGTACTGACACACACTTGACAAGTTAGTTTTGGTCAGTTCACAACTTACTGTGGGCTTCCAATGAAAATCTGCGTTCTTAAAGTGCTTTTGTGGGCATTACCATTTTTTGGAGACAAATACAAGACCAGATCAAAGTGAACTTGGCTTTGCAGCTCGATTACTCGATTACTCTATGAAGTTATCTTGACTGTGAATTCCAGCAAAGCTAATTAAAGGTTTCGAGACAATATTGGGAATTCTGTGTTGGTTTGAGTCTCCAGGTCAAATTTAATAGCACTTACCCATATGAACAAAGTAGGTACTGATCGAAATAAATGAAAGTGTTTTCATTTATTTTTGATCACCCCTATCATGGCACACATGATGTGCCCGAGTCGGGCATGCCCGGGTACATATATGTTCTTAGTCTGGGCATGCTTTCGATTTTGTTCAAATTAGTCATATAGTGATTGTTCATAAATCTCATTTAGGTTAGTTTTGAATTATTTTAATTTTAACAAGAAAAAATGGGTAATATCAGTTGCTCATTTAATATGCATGGAGTAAATCCTTAGTTTAATTTATTTTTATTGAATGTCTCAATTATTCCCTAAAACGTGGGGTTATCGGAAGGATCACATCATTCCCATGCATTTTAAACTAATTATCATATAATAGGTGTTATTTAAGTAACTATCAATCTTTATCTCAACCATGAGATTAAACGCCCAATCTGATTTTGAAACTCAATGATTCACTTTCAAGTGAGTTTTTTTTTTTTGGACCAATAATAAGGATCCTCTTTTTACCCCCCTCCAAGCCGCTCCTTTAGATCTCTTCGACATAATTTGCTCTAACATAACTTCATAAGAAAGTAAGAAGTGGACTTTAATATTAATATGGACGAGTCGTAAAATTGTACATCACGCACAAGTAAAGTTTGTAAGTATTAGAGTAATATAATAATAGTGCATTAGGCAACTGTAAGAAATTATAAGTAAGGCTAACTATAAAAGATAAGGTCCAATAGGGCTAGCTATAAAAGATAAGGTTCAATAGATATTCCAATGACTAATTGTGCTGAGTCAGCATAAGGGCTAGCTATAAAAGATAAGTTCAATTAATTGAACCATACTAACAATAGATTTAAAAATCAAATTAGAACAAACTTTCTCTCTATTCTCTATTTCTCTACTTCCCTTTCTCTATTTTTAATATGGTATCTAGAGCTTAAAGACGATCTTTAGCCATACTTCCAATGAGAACTCTGCAAACACCTCAAAGAATACGATGCGAGAAACGCAATCGATGGTGCAATTCAATTCAAAAAATATCTTCAAAACCTTCACGCAACAAGTCATGCTTAAACTCGATGAAAACAACTTTCGATCATGCAAACAACAGATTAAAGGTATAATTCACACTCATAAGCTTCATCGTCTTTTTGTTAATCCTGAAATTTCGCCGCGATATTTGAGCAATGAAGATCACACCAATGACTATGAAAATTCGGCGTTTGTTGCGTGGGAATAACAAGATTCTCTTATGTTCACGTGGCTTTTCATAATGCTATCGGATTCTGTGCTTCCACGTGTTGTTCGCTGTGTGCAATCTCATCAGATATGGGACGAGGTTCACAAATATGTCTTCGCGCACACCAATGCAAAATCTTGTCAGTTGCGCTTGGAACAAAAATCCATCACCAAAGGCGATAAAACCATATCTAAATACCTAGCTCGTATTCAACACATTGTTGATATTATGGAATCAATAAATGATCCAGTTCCGCATAGGGATCAACTTGAACCTATCCTTGATGGCTTGCCTGAGGAATTTAATGCTTTAGCCTCCATTATTTAGTATTGTGCCACTATTTGTCCTATCATTAAGGTTGAGTCTATGCTTCTTAATCATGAGGCAAAATTGGAAAGTAAATCAAAGATGACATCGATTAAGAGGTGTAAAAGATATTTTATACAAAGATCCATAAATATACATACAATCAAGATAAACTTACATACAAAACTCCAACAAATAGAGGGTACAAAGAGCAGAGATAAGATGAACAAGAATCTCTCGGTTTGTCGACACCGATTGAAGCAAATCCACCTTCGGATCATCAAGATATACATTCTAATGTTATTTCTGAGCTACTATACTCACAGAATGTGTTTGATGAAGTTGAGGTTAAAAGTTTCCAATAACATAATCTAAAAAATACTGAAAAAGTGACTTAAATAGGGGCTGGAACACGTGAACCGCACTATGAGGGCGCTTAATGCCATTAGTAAAATCAAGTTTCTTGTTTTCTTCATAACTTTCGAACCGTAACTCCTATTGACGCAAGGTCGGAAGCGTTGGAAAGCTTATTCAATGCTCTATATAACAATTACAAAAATCCTTGTTTTAAAACAAAAATGAGACAAACTAAAATTATAAAGAATAATATTTATTACAACCGCGTTAAGCGCCCTCAAATCGCGCTAAGCGCAATCTCACTTAAAGTACCCTTAAGCCGACATAAACCTCACTAAGCGTGGTTAGGAAAACAAAAATACTCTAGCTATTGCCATCCAGTTTCTAGCATGCTAAAAGTTGCGCTAAGCGCGAATGCCAACATTTTGTTGGTCAAAACTGCATTTTGAAGCATCCTTCTTAGCTCAAATGGGACTATACTTCATCCATGCATTATTACCTATAAAATAGATGAAAAACTGTCAAACTCACTGATATGCACACGAAAATATAATATATACAACAATATGTAAACTATACAAGAGTACACAAAAATGGGGGATTATTAACGGAAAACCAATTAATCAAGCCAATAAGTGCTAATTATTCACACTCAAAATCAATGCATTTTAGCACTTATCACACTTGTAACACCACATTTAAACTATTTAGTCGCTTTTGTATTTTTCTGTAATGTGTATTGGTGTCATGTCCTTAATTAAGGGTTTGAGGTTAAGAGCAAGAGGGAGAGCTGACCTAAGTTGGGGTAATATGAACCTAGAATAAGGGATAATTTAATAATAAGATTAAGAGCATTATGATTATTAGCATTATTATTTCAACTATTGTTAATAGTAATATTAATGAGATTATTATTATTATTATGACTATTATTATTATTATTATTATTATTATTATTATTATTATTATTATTATTGTTATTATTATTATTATTATTAGTAGTAGTAATTAAATTAAATGAACTAAAATATGATTAAGGGGTTAAGAGAGGGTTAGTGGAGGAGTTAGACAGTTAACACATATAAGAGGAAAAAGACAGAAAAAGGAGAGCTAGGGCAAAAGAACCAAGATTTCTCCATTGTTGCCAAGAAAAAGCTTCAATCCAAGGTAAGGGGGAGAATGGATTTCAATATGGGTGATTTAACATGAGAGGGTAGTGAAAGGTCCTTTCTCTCGTAGGAATTTTGAATGTTCTTGTCTGTCATGTGATTGTCGTGATATTACGATTTCCCTGTGATTGCTGTTATTGTTGAATGATCGTTGTATGATGTTGTATGTATGATTCTGGTGCGAATATGAAAACTCGTGTGGAAATTCCCTGAAGCTGTGATAGAATACCGTGGATTACCAGATCTGAAAACTAAGGGTTTAACCGTAATCCAAATTAGATCTAATAAGTGGAATCGTGAAAGAATAGAAGATATGATTCATTGAAATCGACTAAAATCTGAGTTTTAGGATGAATGGGAAGGTAGGATGATGGATATGGAGAGGGAACTCGTGAGAATGATGAGATCTAAGTTTTTTTTAACAGATCTGCTGGTCATACGCGTATTGGGGATGTCAATACGCGTATGGGGGACTTCCCAAGGGCTCTACGCGTAGTAGACGTGCCCTACCCCAAGGCCAGCACGACCCTCTAGTGATACGCGTGCCCCGCGTATGGGCTTGGTCAATACGCGTATAAGGGGTAGCCATACGCGTAATGGGTTTCATGAGGGAAATTGGAGAGGTGTTAGCCTCTGCCAGTACGCGTAAGGGAGTGTCCATACGCATATGCCAGCAGGAAAATACGCGTATGGGGAAGGGTATTACGTGTATGGGCAGCCTGGGATGACTTTTCCCCAATTTTTGTGATTTCTGTCCCGATTTCGCTTGGAACGCAATTCCGTTTAATCAGTAGGATTAGTATGACTAAAATAAATTTAAGAAATATTAGTAATTAATTAAATCGAGAGAATATGGAATTATCTGGGTGTGCTCTTATGGGTGTGTTTTGATGAGTATGAGCCATGATTGTCGAAATTGGACAATCTTGTGCGATTGTGGTAATTCCCGAGAGGATTACGGTGAACAGGTGGCTCGTGTGGATCTTTGATGATCGTGACTTATGCTTGAATTATTATATGCATAATTGTGTTGTCATGCATTTCATGTCATGTGTCTTGTGGAGATGGCTAGGTGGGAATCCATGATGGGTGCCTAGTTTCATCTGGACTTCATGTGGAAGTTTTGTGGAGATAAGTTGTAGTTCATAGGAACGATACGAATTATCCGGATTCCGACGGGAATCAGGTTCTAGGGTGAACCGTATGTGATTGTGTTGGTACCATATGCATTGTGTCAAGTCAGTGAGTCGCATTGCATATTCGTATTTGAATATGGGCTATTGATGCCGAGTGATCGAGGTGGCACATGTACGTGCGTTGTATGTGTATGATTATATGTGTGGTGTGTAACTACTCCCTAGCATGTGTATTTCACTGCTTATTTATTAAATGTAGTTCTCACCCCTTTTCTGTTTGTTGCATCTGTGCTCCTTGGGGAGTGCAGATGACCAGGTACCCGAGTAGTGCTTGGAGTGTGTTGCTATTTGATCGAGTCTTAGGAGTCGCTCTGATACGTAACATGGGATGACGGGATTACGTTATATTTTGCCTTTTTTCTTGATTAATTGTTACACATCTTTTATTTGTTGGATTGAGGATGTATGAT